TGGTCACCGATCTTGTTTCTGGAAAAATCGTGTGTTTATATTGCAGTTTACTAACACACACGCTCTATGATAAAAAATTATTAAAATATGACCTTCAAATATGACCAAATTTGTTTGCGCTGCACTAATATATATGCGTGAAAGAATATTTTCCCATGTGCTTCCCGACTACTTCAAGGATTTTGTGACATTAAACACAGCCAGTGGCTTTTCTCTGTTATCAGAATGTTACAATTCAGTAGTGTAATACAAATAGTGACATAGATGCTTGTGTTTGACCGGGCCTGGTTGATGCCGAGATAGAACATTAAATTACCATTTGAAAAAGAGATGACCGCACAGCCCTGTCATGTAGTCCCAAACATAAATGTGGCATCTGCGACAAAAATGCACTATGTCGCTAGATGCAGCGAGAATGCCAAATATTACCAATAAATACGACTTCTAAATATTTTCTCTGACCAATTAGAGACCGGTACCAGAAAGAGGCTGTCTATCAGTTTCAGCGCATCAACTTTATTACTGTTCGGTTGCGATTTTGTTGTTGAGTTTTCACAAGCTCACGAGTGTATTTTTTTGTATTGTTCTATTAAACTTTAGTCAGTTGACAAATAGTGTTTGACGAGTTACATACTATAAGTCTACAGATTGAACCTGTTCGGCGACGCCTGATAAAATACAACTCTGTCGTCAAGCTACACACTATGTGTCACACTAGCACTTGCAATTTGCTCATAATAAAAGAGTTGGGAGAGACAAAAAAAAATATGTACAAAGGCATCCATCCATGTTTGTTTTTTCTAGACCGCTCATTGCTGGGAAATTTACCGATAATTTGCTGAGTTTATTTTTAGTTCATATCCTATCAGTGCCTGCCATTATTCAACACTTGTCAAGCATAGCACCTGAGGTGAGTAAAGGTCAAAGGTCATGGGTCATATCAGAGCTGTTAAATTTGTTAGGTATATATGTGTGTATATTGCTTAAGGGAATAATTTTGTCACCTACGAATTTGCTGCTTAAAGAAAATACATTTAAGTCAAAGTATATTTTTGTGCTTTTTTATTTTTTTATGGCCAAATAAGTTGAGTTGTTATTCTCATGTTTAATTTAAACTGTGATTTTCTTTTAGTGCTTAGCAGTACTACAGACACATGAAGTATTTAAAAAAAGTTTAAATATGCTTTGTTTGGAACAAAATACGAAAATAGTATTCAACTCTCTGGAAGGAAATTATGCACTGTGTCTTCTAGGTGAGTCATTTTTCAATGAATGTTTCTCAAGCCATTTTAACACACAAAAAATATGTCGTAGATTTGATTTTTGGGTGTTACCAACATCAGATTAGAAAGATGCATGTCAAACAATTTTTTTTTACCAAAATGTGAAAGAAAAAATAGTTCACACGGTTAAAGAATAAAAGCAAATAAAATATGCATTACCGGACTGCTTTTTTCGACACAGGACCAGTAATAATGTTTTTCAGTTGTTACCATATAAAACAGATTCAATTTTATTATTTTAATTCAAGGGAAGGTGGAAAATCATGTCATATACAATTTTTTTCCTTTGCTCATGACAAAAAATTAGCTGTTGCGGATTTCACATTTGTTTGTTTTTTTACTGGTAGTTCTTTTTATGGCGTCCAAAACTAGTTAGACTAATTGTTGTTCAAGGTACCGGTATAGAGTTCTGCTGTACACTCTACGATGTGAATGTGTGTTCGTGACTCTGTTCACAGGCCCATGTCGTTTTTACCTGCGGTCATACCTTTATTTATATTCTAAATTGAACGACATTGCTTACACCGTGATCTACGATATTTTGGCATCATCAAAACACTTAATCACTAGAGGGTGTAACTCATTAGAACTGTGTATTACCTGTTGATCTAAGTGACAGGATAACAAAACAATAGACACTTTTCACTCTCAATTTTTTTAACTGTATATTCCACTTTGTTCTTGCAGCAAATTTAATACAACTTGGAAATATTGATTCAGAGGTTAGTGTCTCGTACATTTATTACTATCGTTTCATTCATTCTTTGAACGATTATGTTTAACTAAATATTGCTACACTACAGCAAGTTATTATCAACATTGTCGGTAAATATACAGCAATTGCTTCCAATGTTGTTGAAGTTTTTTTGCTACAATAAAGTTTGTTTTGATACATTTGCAACCAAATTGAGTCGCAAACGACGATAACAGCACACGCTAAAAATGCAAAGGCTCATGGGTAGACAGTAGTTTGTAAACAATGACACGCTATGGTCATCTGACGCATGCGCAGGTTATCTGAATACTGCTGCCATTGTTTGACCAGTGTGTGCAAATCAAAGAATCTTTCAGTGTTTTTCAAATATTTTTTTTACATTGATCTACTTTATTTATTTATTTTATTTTATTTTTATTCTTACAGGCACTTACAGCCAATGTTTCATCCTTCAACGTAAGTATAATTCTACCAGTGTTGGTCATGTGACCCTGATGTAAATCTTGTATACTGTAAATGCATTAATTATTCACTGGGTTTTTCCCTATTTTTGCTGATAATTAAAATTAAATCTACGTGAACATGTAAAATAACAATAAAACTCATTGTTTCCTTGACAAATTTTCATTTAAAGCGAGAGGGTCGTCACCTGTCATACCTCAAAGTATGCATGAAGACAGTACAGCAGGAGTAGCGACCGACACGCAACGAGGGTCGATGCGACGCCGTACTGTCTGAGTGCATACCAACATTATTATGCATCTTTTCCTTCCAAGTATACAGCATAGGAATGCCATCATTTCTTTAGCGAAAATACCGAAAATTAATTCCAAGCGAAAATAAAGTATTTTACAATAATATACATTAAATTTGTTTTTATGTTCCAATTCAAGATAGCCAAATTGCAGCCATTTTAGTGCTTAACATTCATCAAAATTATGTATGGATATATTTCATTCAAACTTGGTATGTCCTTGCCAAGGGCCTAGAAGAGAATGTTCATTTTCAAGTGAAATGACGACAAGGTCACTTATTTTGTTTGATTAGAGATGAGTGTAATGAGTGTATAAATATAAATATTAAATGTTGTCCAAGCTATTCACAAAATGACAGCACCCATCATAAAACGTAGTTGTCATGCAATCTGATACATCAGTTTTACAAAGGAAGCGATCACAATTACCTACCATCACGGGTGAGCAAATTTCAAGCAACTGTTTTAGAAATGAGAGAAAATTATGAATGATTATATATATTTTTCTATTTTTAGAGAGTGGTCGGTTCCCTTTTATCAAAATGCCAAAGTTACGTGGCTCAGAAAAAATCTAATAATACGCACTGGCATCCAGTGTTTGGTTGGTTTTCACAGACAACTGATCATAGGTAAGTTAAGGTTTTATGATATTGCTCACAATCTGACCAAGATATTGTTTATTCGAATTACCTATGGTGCTATGCATATATTGGATTACCCATGGTGCTATGCATATCTCACATTACCCATGGTGCTATGCATATCTCAGATTACCTGTGGTGCTATGCATATATTGGATTACCCATGGTGCTATGCATATATCTGAATTACCCAAGGTGCTATGCATATATTGGATTACCCATGGTGCTATGCATATCTCAGATTACCCATGGTGCTATGCATATATCGGATTACCCATGGTGCTATGCATATATCGGATTACCCATGGTGCTATGCATATATCTGACTACCCATGGTGCTATGCATATATCGGCCTACCCATGGTGCTATGCATATATCGGACTACCCATGGTGCTATGCATATATCGGATTACCCATGGTGCTATGCATATATCGGATGACCCATGGTGCTATGCATATATCAGATTACCCATGGTGCTATGCATATATCATATTACCCAAGGTGCTATGCATATCTGAATTACCCAAGGTGCTATGGATATATAGGATTCCTGTGATGCTATGCATATATCAGATTACTTATGGTGCTATGCATATATTTAACTCTGATGTAAAACCCTGTTAAAACTACAATGATTTATGTTGTTGTTTTTTAGATTACATGAAGCCATGCCATTTGTGGTGAAGCAGCTACAGTTATTATGGAATCCAAGAACTGTCAAATTATTATTTAACGACATACTCAAGCATTCATCGAGAGCTTCCAATGGATCTCCAGAAAAAATGGCGGCCATGTCATCTCATTCCAAGGATAGCTCATCTGGTCCTAAAAGTAAGTTTTGTTTTGGATAAACTTTCCCATAATGCCCTCACGTTAGCTTTCTTTGGTTACTAATCTCTGTGGTGTTTCTATTAACAAGGTTCACATGAAGTGGCCACCAATTGGCCATTTGTAATCAGATCGCGAACCTCTGCACCTGCAAAACGATGCATATTTCAGGTGCAGTGTTAAACAGTGGGACTACTAACTTGCACTCTGTTCATCTGTCCGTCCGTCCGTCTGTCTGTCGTCTGTCTGTATGCATGTATGTCATCTGACTGCAATTTTAGCAATTCCTCAGCAACTCTGACGCAAATATTAATTAAATTTACTTGCTGGTGGAAAAATGATGTGTTCGAAATGCTCTTTTTTTCATAATTTTTATTGTTAATCACCTCTCAAAGCAGAAACAATCACACACCTACTCATACACTCAAATCCATAATATTCAGATGCAGTTTAAAATCCATTTCAGTGTTATAATATATTGCTTGCTGCTAATTTATAATAATATTCACTTTTTTATCTTATTTTGCTTCTTTCGTTATTTAGATATAATATTGAGAAAATTACAAAGATCAAGTTCAAAATCTAGCTCTAGTAGTCAAAAAGGTTGGAGTATAACTGCACCTGAAGTGAAAACAACATGTGGGGTGTGTGAACTGTACCAGACGTCACTGATGACATTAACTCAACTCAGAATGGATATTTTAACAGGTATTAGAAAATCAGTAAATTCAAGTAAAGACTGAAAGATCAAATACATTTCCCCAAATCCCCAAAAAAGGTTTTCATTCATTACCGCTCGATTCATCATAAAATCCTTCTCGGTGTTCCATCTGAGACAGATTTTACCACGAAAACATATGTTTATGTTACGGTATCATTCTTTTATTGATCTCTGCTAGGTTTGAGTTATCAAGATGTTCTATTATCCAACTTATGGAAATTTATCTGGGAGCTTGGCCCGCATGGACCGCTGAAATTGTATACAGAGTTACTTCTATCTAATGAAACGCAACCAGTATTCTCAGTGCTGATTCTCTTCTGTGATTGCGCCAGTCATCTTATAACGTGAGTACATATGCTACTTACTTTTTTTTTACTTTTAACAAATGACAATTATGAAATTTTTTCTCCATGTATATTTGCCAATTGTAAATCTGGTATAATGTCACCATCATTGTGTTCACTGGTTGAAGTTTACGATCCATTGAAAAGCTGATCACAAAACATCACACAATCGTAATTTGACTAATTTGCATAAAACATGCATATTTCGCTGTTAAGACCCCCATGGTCTTTTGTCAGCAATTTACAACTAGGAATACCCTAGCACTGAATGTATGTCAAATTTATGATGGTCACCTACACAAATATCAAGATTTCTTTCAAAACATTGTCAAACTTGTGAGTAGACAGGGAAAAAAAGAAGGTCTGTAAGACTATCTGCTGCTTCAGGGATCTGATGCAGTTTTTTCGTACGCTACTAGACAAAAGTAACATAACCGACTCACATAAGGAACATGAAAGGAAATGGCATGTAAAACCTCATGATAAAGAAATGTGTCCTTCATTTGTGTTTACCCGATGTGAACAGCACATGGTGGTTCTACACAATGACTGAAACCTCACTGATTGCACTTAATATATAATGTACTTCATTTCTGAACTGTTCTCTGCTTCTGTAATATGTACAAAACTGTGTGACCAGAGAATGTGTTTTCAAGTGTTCTCTCATCCTTCTGTGTTTAAATTTTTTGTCTGACGATTTTTTTCTCTCTTTTTTTTTTAAAACAGTGTGTTAGATGACTTGGAGTTATATGAACAACAACGACCATTCCAAGTTGAAGACTTAGTTTGCATGTCAAAATTCCTCAACGCTTTTATCTACCGTATGATTTGGGATCACAGTTTAGGTCAGTACGCTCACGATCTTATCTTTTTACGAACTATTATGCTAATTCTACATTCAACAGTGTCTTATTGTGTTGGTTTTTTTGTTTCCTCAGACAGCAAATCTAAACATGGTGGTTTGTTGAATTCCACGCATAATTTATTAATGTTACTTTATGACAGAGACTGCAGACGATCATTTACATCAGAAAACCATTGGTTAATAAAGTAAGTGTCATTTACTTCAGGCAATCACTGGCTAATAAGTTATCATTTTACTTCAGACACTTACTGGTTAATAAAGTAAGTGTCATTTTATATCAGGCAATCACTGGTTAATAATTTAAAAGTAAAAATTTAAACTCTTTGAGTTTAAAAAGTGGCAAATAGAACTTAAGCGGCTTTATAACAAGCATATTGCACATGCTGTGTCTGGTGAAGAAAATATTGTCAGCATTGTTTATCTAATATAGTTCCTCTGATCTAAAAGGGTAAATTTATATTTACATGTTTTTTTTATCACAGAGAATTGAAACCCAGTGTCTTTAATTCTGAATTAGAAAAGGCCAAGAAAAGAGCACAAGTTGTACTTCAGAAGATACCACATGTTGTACCACATAGAGACGTAAGTTCACTATTAACTGATCATTATTTGCATAGTGATAGTTAGCGACTGCTTCAGACTTTTTTATATGGACAAGTTTTATATTTACCTTCCCATGATCACCCTGTTTTACTATCTGACGAACTTGATATGGTTAAATTGGACGGAATCAGCATGTCGTTATTTATCTTGCAACTCCACATTTTTTTCTCATCTTTAGTATTCATAGAAGTAATTGGTTGTAAAATGAGGAATTTATTTTTTACAGCGAGTGATCCTTTTCCGCAAACAAGTAGCCAATGAGAATGCAGCTTTGAGTATTACAGAGTCGGTGAGTGCATCACCGGCATCAACATTAATAACTGTACACCGAGCAAGATTACTTGAGGTGAGTTGTTACATTTTAAATATCATCACTCAATATCATCATCATCATTGTCAATTCACATTTCTCCATCATGTGTCTTCACCTTTCTTCTGAGAATCATTTATGTCTTCTCGTGTCATCTGACAATATGGAATATAAATATTGCGGTATGTGTGGGGTTCAAAATCAATACTTTGTGCCACCTGAATGCGCTGACGCATTTCCCAAATAAACATTGTGCACCCCCTAGTTACGCCATCATTTACTATAATAACCTGCTTACCAAATTATTATGCTCTGAAGTCATTGTGCTTTGTTTTCCAGGATGGATATCGACAACTGGCTTTACTTCCAGCACAGGCTTTGAAAGGGGTTATCAGAGTCAGGTTTGTTAACGAGCAGGTAAGTTATGTGTAACAGATATTTTGTTTCAATTGCTAATTTTGAAAAAAGAACAAAACTGAAAACTGACATGGTTACTGACATGTACATGCACGGTTACTGACATGTACACGCACGGTTACTGACATGTACACACATAGTTACTGACATGTACGTGCACGGTTACTGACATGTACAGACACTGTTACTGACATGTAACCACACAGTTACTGACATGTACATGCACGGTTAATGACATGTACATGCACGGTTACTAACATGTACACACATAGTTACTGACATGTACACACATAGTTACTGACATGTACACACACAGTTACTGACATGTAACCACACAATTACTGACATGTACAGACACTGTTACTGACATGTACATGCACGGTTACTGACATGTACAGACACTGTTACTGACATGTACATGCACGGTTACTGACATGTACATGCACGGTTACTGACATGTACATGCACGGTTACTGACATGTACATGCACGGTTACTGACATGTACAGACACTGTTACTGACATGTACATGCACGGTTACTGACATGTAACCACACAGTTACTGACATGTACACACATAGTTACTGACATGTACATGCACAATTACTGACATGTACAGACACTGTTACTGACATGTAACCACACAGTTACTGACATGTACATGCATGGTTATTGACATGTAACCACACAGTTACTGACATGTACATTCACGGTTACTGACATGTACACTCACGGTTACTGACATGTACACACTCAGTTACTGACATGTACATTCACGGTTACTGACATCTACACACTCGGTTACTGACATGTAAATGCACGGTTACTGACATGTAACCGTACAGTTACTGACATGTAACCGCACAGTTACTGACATGTAACCGCACAGTTACTGACATGTACACACTCGGTTACAAACATGTTACACAATCAGTTACTGACATCTACATGTACATGCATAATTACTCGCATGTACACGCATGTTACACACACAGTTACTGATATGTACAAACATGGTTACTTGGGTTTGTTGTCTGTTTACTCCAGGGTCTAGATGAGGCCGGTATTGATCAGGATGGCGTCTTTAAAGAATTCCTGGAAGAAACCATTAAGACTGTCTTTAATCCATCATTGAATCTATTCAGAGTAAGTGATTTGTACTCAGTATTTGCATTGCGAGAGTTTCCATCCATCCACTCTTTCAGCCTACGTACAAAATATATATCCGCTACTTATTAGTGTTTAATAATGCACATAGATTGACAGAGCTAACTAGAACTGGGAAAAATGATAATTTCAAAAGCACTACAAATGTTCAGTGAAAGATTCCTTCAAATAGATGAAAAAAAGACAAATAAAACTGTAGCTCTGATTTCATCCATAGCATTGAGTCTTATTTTTGTAGTCATTTTGGATTGGGAAATGGGCAGAATTAATGCTTTGATGAATAAATGTAATTCTGTTTTCAGATGACCTGCGGAGAGCAGAGATTGTACCCCAGTCCCACTTCTTATATTCAGGACAACCATCTACAGTTGTTTGAGTTTGTTGGTAGAATGTTGGGAAAAGCCGTGTATGAGGTGACGAAATTCAATTTCTCATCCAATATTACTCTTTGAGGCAGTTTCAACTGAATTCGCATTGTTCACTACTGAGATCTTACATGCAATGCATTATGGGAAAGAAGTTCCCATTGTTTATACTATTAACTGAATCATGTGTGAATTTTTTTTAAATGTTAAAACAATATTAGGATTCATATCAATAATAATAATATCTTATTTTTGTTCATCCCATGTCACTGATCAAAAATTTTTGAGATATGAAGAAACAATATCACCATAGAAACCAGAGTTAAAATGGATTGCAGCAAAATTGTTATACTTAACATCTCACAAACATAATATTTATTAGCTTTATCGGGCCTCTATTAGAGATACAATTCTAATGCATCACACAGAATCACAAGAACAATGTAAATTCCTCTTTCTCTCCAGGGTATCGTTGTAGAAGTCCCGTTCGCATCGTTTTTCTTGAGTCAAGTATTGGGTCAGCAACACAGTGCTTTGTATAGTCCCATCGATGAGCTGCCGTCGCTCGATCCAGAACTTTATAAAAGTCTAACATTTATAAAGGTAACATCAGTATAAAATTATAATAGATAATCTTAATGGGATGTTAACAGGGATGCAATGCTCAGTGCTGTTTGTGGGATAGCATACTGCTCGTATCCATCTGGTGCATCTGGAGAACATTGTGAACTAAAACATACATCTGTCATGTATTTCAAATTATATTACGACCTAAATAAAGATACTGTCTACTTTCTGGGTAGAC